TCTTTAAAGGAATAATTTGTGAAATTGGCCATTACATATTAAACTCACAACCTGAGCAAAAATCTCTCTGATCTTTACTGCTCCTGGATTGCTGGTGCTTTCTAGAGCTTATTTGATGTCTATTGCCCTGTCTTCAGCTCTTCCTTTCTAGGCACTGAAGATAAGCTAAGTAAACTCAATGAGAGAAGAAGAATCTGCCTAGCCTCTTTTCCTCTAAGAGGTAAAGTAAATGAGGAAGCTTAGGACAATTTCAGTAGCAAGTGAATTTTACCTTCTCGATTAAGTCTTCCTTTTTAGGAGATAATAATGAATGGCAGAGGATAGCTTTGGGCTTGAAGAGAGATAGGGAGGGCTATATTGTCCAAAGACTTTCTTGACTTTCCCAGATGATACTTGAAGACCTCTGAAGAACTTCTCTAGTCAGTATCTCATGTATTCTCTAGTATCATCTCCCAGATGTTGCCATGCCAGTAAATGTTCTATTTTACACCAGAAGTCTGTGCTTTGTCACTGAGCTGCAGACTTAGGCAGAAAACTTAAGGGAGTAGCATGGTTTGGACATGGGTCTTGGAGAGTTCCTGGGCTGTGCAGTCAGGCCCAGGAGCTGGGACGTACTCTCATGATTGTAACAGTAGAGAGATAGCAAGACTGTCTTTCAGTGGTGGGACTCATCATTTAGGGGGAGCTGTGGCTGTAACTCATTCAGGCATCCATATCTTGCATATAAGCCTGGACCCTCCTGCAAACCCCTGTGCCACTGAACTTGGTTTCAGCAGAAGATGAAACTCACTAGCTGTTCATTAAAAATAAAAGGAAAATTGTACCCCAGCATGAGAGAATAAGAAGGCAGCCAGGAGATGATAATTGCTTGAAAAAATAGCAGGTGACTGTCACTCAGGGCTCTTATGAATCCAAATATTTTTCTGTTGTTATTGAATCCAAAGGTTTGACAGAGATGACAGGAATAATCTCAGAGTGAGCAATTTCATGATTGCATTTCTCTAGTCATTCTTATTTCTACTCACTTTTTCTTATATACATTTTCTAGTTTAGATGCAAGGCTGTCTTTCTGTTTATATTCTAGGTCTGTCCCACACATTTTCAGCAACTCAGAAATAACACTTTTGTCATTGCAAATATTAGTATGAACAGTCTCTAAAAGCAGTAAACTAAATGAATAGGCTGCAAAAATAATCTAGTCTGAGGAAACTGAAAATTGCCTTTGGCATAATCCTGCCAAAATCAAATTTTAACATTCGATTTCATTCCCAGACAGATGGGTTGATAGTATAATGAGAAAAAATATTTTGGACTGATATGTATGCTTAGCAATCTAAAATAATGTTGATGAGAGAAGCCCATAGTGCATAAAAGTTTTCCCAGCAAAAACTGTGGTCTTGCTGATATTTAAGTGAGATTCCCAAAATATATCAAAACATAAGTATATGATGAAACAGAAACCCATGTATCATAAGCATTGCAAAGTGTGCCTGTGTGCCTTACCTGTCAAACAAGTCCCAGGAGCTTCAGCTCCATAAATGTAAAATAAGGTATATCAGAGGTGAGTGCATTGCCATATGTCACTCATAAGTTATCTTCAAGTGCACCAGGTGAGACAGAGTGCTGGCCCTACTTTGCTGAGATATTTAAGACAAGTCACTGCATCTTGCTAGGCCTTGAGTTCCTCATATTAAAACAAGATAAATCTTACCAAGGCATTTCCCATTTGCCTTCTCTTCCTATTACAGAAATTCTCCTTTGTAGGCTTCCATATAGGTCTGAATATAACACTGATGAAATAATTCAATACGCATTCCTGGGTGTTTGCCAGAAAACCCATAGCCCGAGATTTAGGCTGGATTTGTCTTTCAGAATGGAGAGAAAACCTTACTTTGTTAACTTAAGTATGACATATTCTCCAGGTAATTGCCAAATAAACCTGCTTCCTTTAATCAAGAGGGTGAAGCTAGAGCAGAAAAGTTTAATTGTTTCTGTTGTTGGGGTTTTTCACTTCCCACACAGGAGGGTTAATTTGAGAGTGCAGCATTAGGGTGTGTGTTCATTATTATCTCAAGTAGTTACAAGACCCTTGAGGGGGAAATTGCTCATTGCTGACCTGGATCAAACACCTCCTCTCCAAACCCCACCACAGGGGCAAGCATGAGTCATATTGCGGACTTTGTGCCAGGAGTGGTACAGAACCAAATATTTTCCTGTGAAATGTTCAGAAAGCTGACTGAAATGTGTGTATATGTATATATTTGTCTGAAAGTAGACTGCATCAAATATGGACAAAGCAGGCTTGAAATCAGATGCAGGCTTGGACTTTTGCAATCTTGGAGATACATTTTAAAAAACTGACTCAAGAAAAAGTTTTAAAAGTAACAAGATCATTGCCATAGAATAAGGGTGCTTTCAGAAGCAGTCAATATGTCAATTCCTGAAAATGGAAGTCACTAGGATATGGACCCTTAGCTGGCTCTGTAATATCAGTAGATGACTGGTTGAATATTCAGATTGAAAAAAAAAAAAAATTGAAAAATCTTTCCATGAAAAAGAAAGTTTTAATTAACCACATTATGTGCCAATTATATTTTTAATTATGTATCTCTGTTTCCAAAATGATCCACGGCCCTTTCCTCTACTGTTGTTAAGGTGCTAACAGGGGTAAGAGAAAAAAAATATAAAAACCTTCATCCAGAATATAAAGGAGAGAAAAGCACCAAGAGTACAAAACAACTGTTAGGTTAATGCCACTAGTACTGTTTTATTAACTCACATATTCCGAAAAGTAATGGTCAGCAGGTTAGAATTTCTTCTTCAAGGTGCATCAAACTACTGTACATTTTTCTGTCATTTTCATTTAGATAAAATTATTCTTTAAGAATTGTAAATGTGCAAATTTTATTTTTAAGCATTTATTTGGAAATTCTATTTGAAATTTCATGACAAGTTTTCCCATTGAAGAATTGTTCTTATTTATCTTTTCTCATAAATCTGTGGCACTCTTCATAATGAGATATGGCAAAGAAAGATACATCTGGTAATTTTGTTTTCACTTCTGCTGGGGCTATTATTGTTGTTTGAGGCATTTTATCAGCTTTTGTAGATCAAAATATCTTCTGTTAAAATAAAAAAATTGACTCAGCAAGGGATAATTAGGTCTGTAAAAGAACATGCCTATTTTGTAGTTGCGAGTAATAACTTCTTCTATCCAGTGGTCAAAATAGAATTTCAGCATTACCAGGAGAGGTTTTGAGTGATACATATTGTCAGACTTTCTTGGCTATCAGTCTGGTATGAAATAATAAAAAATACAAAAATAATGTTTCAAATTCTGAAAACAAAACAAAACAAAAAAAAGAACTATACAAATGGAACAACTGAAAAATCTAAAAGTAAAAATATTTTAAAGTGATTAAAGTATTTTTTAATATATGATTAAGCAAAAATTCTGAATAAGATACTTGGGTTCATAAAAGAATATGCATATTTTATATTTACAAGAATTAAATATTACTTAAGCCAAAAGCCAATTTCAGATTGTTGAGAATTTCCCAGAAAAGGGAAATGCAGATACAATCCATTTAACATTGCCTGTCCTGGTCTGACTCACTGATGGGCATGTTGAGCTTGGTACCAAGGGCTGAGTGACAAATGGGGACATGCACGGCTGGCTTTGGCAGCCTCAGCCAGTTGCAAGACAGCAAAGCACCCATGCTAAGTGGCATGGAGACGCGGTGTGCTGCAAAGCTGCTTACCCAGCAGGAGCATGGGACCTCACCCTGGCACGGGCTGAGCAGTCCCAGGGTGCTGAGTGCTCTTTTCCCAGCTCAATCCAGCCCAGGGAGTGCCAAGCACCTGCTCAATCCAGCCCTGGGAGGGCTCAGCAGGCTCAGGAGCACACTGGTGGTATTGCACTTTCGGTGATGAAGTGTGCCCCCCCTGCCAGCTTCAGTCACAGAGCAGAAGGCCACTCTAACTTCTCCTTGCCCATTCAGGGGTGGTTCAGGTGTCCCAAAGACGCAAGGAAGCACTTAACAACACCTGTGCTGCAGAACAGACAGCAAAGTAGGGAACCTTCTGTGGTTTCTTTGTCCCCCACACAACTGTGCTCCTGCCATCAAAAACGAGGCCAGAAGAGAGCTGTGCAGCACATCCTCTCTCCTCCCCTACCTGCAGTTTTGATCAGCTCTCCAGTTTCTCTAACACTCTCCCTCTCCGCTGTGTCAGCGAGAGCACAACCCATTGGAAGGGAAAGGTATGGCATGAGGAGGCTTTGCAGTTGGTAAAGGCAGAAAATCTTCCTCGTCTGCTTCAGATATTCTTGCAGCCTCATGAATAAAGCACTATTTTTTCCCAAAATTTTTTATGATACCTCTTCAGTGACATCCTCATTCTGCTCTGAGCACTTCACTTCCGTGAACAATGTGCATGGAACTCACTCCTTTATGCCTGGAAGTAAGCAAATGGACTTCTAATTTAAATGAATACTTTTTTTAAATTACGTGTTCTTTATCGTAATATTCATTTAGTTTTTCTATTATACAGGGTGCAAAGAGAAAACTGGAAGTTGCATTCAAAGCAATGATAAGTTACCATTTTAATGATTCCTTATGTTGTGAGTAATTTATAAATCACGCAGTATCTTCTCAGCAAAGCTTGCCTCTGTTTTTAAAACGTACCTTTTTGTATCCAACAAAGGGTTTCAGTGCAATAAGAATTAAGGTGTGTCTCTTAGCTCTTACCTGCAAGCAATAATGATGTTGTCAAGCATTTCAGGTGAGACCAGCCCAGGATTTTGGGGTGGGGAAAGACACTCTGTTATACAGCATCTTCAGTTCTTCCCTCAGAGGGAGGCAGAGACACCTTGAAGGGCTGAGTATAAGGACATGTACAGAGTGTCTTTTTAAATAGTCACCAGAGCTGGGGGGGGAGGGGAACAGGAACAGGCTTGTAACCATAACTCTGTTGGACTTGTTTCTGAGAAGTCAGATGCCATGGATTGGCTCCCTCACCGAACGGCTGCTTTTCTGTTCCTTTTGTTGGTAAGTTGGATTTTAAAACAATATTTTTAAATGCTGTGAACCACGCCAGTTTCATCTTCCTCAGCAAACCATTGCATTTTACAATGTAAACTATTCCCCAAAAATATCTTTTGAAATTTACCATAAAAATCAAAGCTCTGCTCATTTTAAACTGCACTTACGAACATTCTATAAAATCAAATTAGCTTTTCATTAAATACTGGCAAATATTTATTTTTATACTTTTGGAGATCTGTTGATGTTCAAAATGTGACTTTCTATGTTTACTGCATGATTTTTCAGGCAAATGTTTTCTGTGCTGGTATTTAAAGGTCACAGATATTAATAAAATTCTATAATTATAAAAATTTTAATAGTTGCATATACTTTAGTTCTATGTCTTTTTATCAGTTGAGAAAATACCTTTTTCTAAAAAATTAAAAACTCTTTTTTCTAAAATGATTAGCAAGATTTTTTCACAGCTGACCAAATACTATCGCTATTTTCAAGACAGCAAAAAATGACAAAATTTAGTGATATCAGTTAAGCAAAAATCAAGACTTGGCCTATTATTTCACATTGCAAAGGATTCCTGTGTTGTTGTGCCCTAGTGTCTGAGCCACCATTTGCCGAGCAAGTGAATGTATGATGAAAGTGTTGCTCTTTGGGTTTGTTTTTCTCACTGTAAAAAGAAAGTTGTGGCTATGGTCAAGTGGCATAGTTGTTCAATGTGCTCATCAAGGCATAGAAATTACCCAGAAGGGACTTAAAAGGGCTATGGGTGCCTACTGCTCCTGCAATCTGATTTTTGTGTGGATTAATTTTACTCATCTGTGCTGACCTCTTGAAATTTGGTAGAGGTTCAAGGCCCTGAAGATTGAGAAAAGCCGGATTTCTACTATAGTTATATCCTGTGGTTTTCATGAAATTTTACATTTTACACAGTGTGTTAGTATGTGAAAATGTTTGTTAACTTCTCATTACTAGCTTCTCTAGAAATGTTGTAATCTGAGAAAAAGTTTGTATTATAGGTTAACAAATCCTGAAATCATTATGAAAATACAATCCATTAATTTTAGATGACAGCTCTGCAATCTGTAAAGTAGAACTAATTAACACAGAGCAGCTGCCAAGCAAACAAGGGCAAAACTTGGCAAAAGCAAGTTATGGTTCGGATAAGTTTCTACTTGTTCAAGGCAGCAGAGAGTTGTCTGAGACTGGCCTGTTGTACATCACACTAACACTTCTGGATTTTCATGAAGCACTAGTGACTATTCATTTTACTCATTTACCTGGTGATGCACACTCCCAGTGTGTTGAAGTTCAAAATGCTTGACTGTTTTGTGTTTAAGACCTGTCCATTGAAAAGACATTTTACTCAAATTCTTTACTGCTTTATTTCTCTCAGCAACTCTGAAGCCATTTTCATTCCATAAGTATATTGTTGTTAAAATTGTGAGTGATGGAGAGTAGGTGCTGGGTCAGAAAAAAAGAGCAATTCTGGAAAATGACATTGTGGTTTGATGACTATCAAATATTTGAATTTTTACTACCCATAGGAAACCCTTGTTCTTGTTATGCATTCTTCTGCCCAGCAATGTTCATGATGGCTTGTATAAATTAATAGTATCTTTCAACGCTTTAAAGAAAGGTGGCAGACAAACTGTTGAGATCAAATTATACATTTATATGTCCAGTTTTAGTGTATTCCGAGAAAAAAAAATTGGCTTTCAGCTTAACTAATCTTTCATGAAAATCACCTGTCTGAATGGTGTGTCTGGTTAGTATATTGTTAATAAGTTTCATCAAATAAAATTAACATGGAGTTATACATATTTTAGTACACTACTGCATTTTAAAAAAAAAAAAAAAAAAAGGAAACTTACCAGCCCTGAAACAAATAATTTTCTCTATGGATTTCACCATTGGTGGGACTGATTCTGCAACCCTTGCTCATGTGACTTCAAAGACATTATTCTCATGAGTAAGGGAGTTCTGTTTGTGATACTAGCACAGACACGTTTTATGGAAATAACCTGTTTGATCAGGTATGACTCTTCTCCTGCCAGCTATCATGTGACAGCCAATAATTTTAAATTCACCACATCTCTTATGCACTTTTGTCTGGATACGTTTTCCCATATGCTATCTAGGCTTATTTCCCCCCTCAGTTGTAAAGCTATGGTTACCCATCCTACTCATAACTTTATTGTACGCAAAAGGAGTCATGTTCTTGTAAATTCATGTGAAACATCTGCAAGAATTGAATTAGGAACTTGAAGGTTCTTCTGCTAAATATTTTGTTGTAGAAATACAAACTAAAGCGATTCCACATCCAGGAACTATCACCTAGGATTAGGTACTAAAGCCTGCAGTTTTACATTCCTAAGTAAAATGGCCCTTAAGAAAACATGCATTTGCAGCCAGAAGACTCTAAGTCATATCAGAATTCAAGTTTTATTGAGGAGATTTATTGAGGGCACTTAGCATTACTAATTTGAAAAACTCAGATTTTAATGATAATGGCATACACCCTATATTGAAATTACTTTTCTGTTCATTTTTCTAATGGTTAAAGTCAGTTACGCTATGGAAGTGTATTGTATCTGCATACAATAGAAGATACAATAGCAGAACAGTGGTTATCCTGTTCTGGTATTGTAATCAGAAACAAAGTGGAAACTTTCCTAAAGTTGTCAGTTCTTTGAGTAAACTTATTTTAAAATAAATAAAACTTTGAAGTATATTCTTCAGCCTGACATGAGCATTGTCATAATTCCTGAATTATTCCTGTCACAATTGTTGAAAGAGTAATGGATTATCCATCCTGGGTGCAATTCAAAGTATTGCTAACATAGGAAACACCTGGCCTCCTCTGAATTAGAAAACAAAAGGCCAGAAAAATAATACAGAAGATCTTTCCCTTTAAACTGGATGAAGTACATTGATAAGTGACATATGAAAAAGTGAAGAATAGAAAAGGAAAATCATATTTCAATTTAAAAAGTGGTAAAATTGCATATTTTTAAAATATGAGGGTTTGTCATATTTGAACTCTGCTTCTCATTATTTCATATGAACTGATGTATCAATTTTTTAAAAAGATGCAGAATGAATATAGGGGAAGGGTTCATTATTGTAAACCTTTTCTAATCAGGGCTTTGGATGAGTAAGAAAGACGTAAAAGTCCCAAAACGCTGACAGTACCAGAGCTACCACAGCAGCCTGATGACTAACACAATACGTGTGAGTTCTCAGCACTCCTCCCATCCAGGCCAACAACAATGCCACTGTTGACTTCAAAGAGAGAGAAGCAGATCCCATATGAATAATGCTGGGAAGATGTTAAAGGCATGTTCAGTCATTTAGATTTGAGTAGGTGGAGGAGGGAGGATTCTGTAATTACATATGATATTGCTTAGCACTCAATTAATGATTAGTTAATTCTTGTTTGTAAATTGCTTTGAGGGTGCAAAGAACAGTAGACATCCTACGGGCCTAATTCTGTCCCCAGTTGCATCAGAATAAATCCAGAATAACTCCAGTGTGACTCTAAGGTGTCATTTTGGACACAGGGTCCAGGTATCATTACAATAAAAGACAAGTTTTCAGACAGAACACTGTGCAAATGACAGAAACCATAAACTTGTTTCCTGCCTGCACATCTCCCAACCTGAAATAGAGGCAGTTTGTGCAAGTGAACTGACATCTAGATTCTCTTCTGCTTCCTTTTTTTCAGAGACTAACAGACAGCAAATCCTGGCATCATTCTGACCAGGTTGCCTACCTCAAGGTCCTCAGGATACATCCCACACATTCCAGTGGCTCCTATTGCTTTAATTATTGTTTATCCCTGTGTCTTCGGAAAGTATTATACTTCGAGACTGGTTTAGAAGGGAATTTTTTTAACTACCTAGAAATTTGCTGGGGTTAGCTGCTAGGAGACAGAACTTATCTGCTTGAAATAGCAGTAGAAAAAAAAAAAAAAAGGTTCTCATCTCAGATAATTAGAAATAGACAACTGGGTTAGGGAAGACTTCTAACTGCTAGTGACAGTGGAGAACCAGAAGTTACTAGCTTGGGAGGTGGAGGAGTCTCAAGTAGGATAAATGTTATTTCAAAGATGTTCAGATTTATCTGGTGAACTAGACATTTTTGTCTGATGTCTACCTGCCCTCCTTCCTATACCACAGCTATAACTGAGAGATATACCAAACACAGTCACCAAGTTCATCAGATCAGCCTTTTCAAATAATAAATGTACTAAGGACTCTGAATTCAAGTTCCTTCATTACCAACAAGTAGCAAAACGGGGTTTTCCTTCACTATCACTGCATAAATGTGAAAATACAGGGCCTAAATTTACAATCCAAACATCACCAATGGACAAATTCCTGTCGTTCCCATTACTGGTGCTCAAAACCAAAGGATAAGACTCCAGTGTGAAATATGTATTTTTCACTGCTTGAAAACAGAACTCCCTATAGGCTGAAATCAAGATATTTATGAATGCTCATGTCCTTAAGTAATAGAATTCTTTACAGGTATAATTCTTATTTCAGAAATACTCAGAATTGTTTTTCAGACTATGAGAGTGATGTGGCTGGGTGTGAGGCATTAGTCTGACTGTTAAGTAACAGGATAGGCCACATGATGCAGACAGCAGACAAGATTCACTAACACTGAGAGGTGCATACCCATACTTTGCCAGGTCAAGACATTGTTTGCATGCCAGAAGGGATTTCAGCATAAGGGTGGAGAGGATTTCATTGTGCTCACCGAATGAGGTGGGATAGACTGATAAGAGATGTTCAATTAGTGTTATTTCTGGTGGACCTCATCACTCAGACTCTCTCATGAGGGTGTAGTCTGCCCCTTTGACTCTTTCACATTCCCCGGTTTCCAAGGGGGATTATAAAAGAACAGGACTGAGTTCCCACTGGGGAGTCGGATATTGTCCCTTCTCTGAGATGAGGAACAGAACAGCTGCACATGAATTTGAACCCTATTCTGAAGCTGAAGATTTAAACAGTCATAAATTCAACATAAGATAACAAATGTATTGGTGCTTTTAGGACAACATGAACATATTGTAGTGATTCTCCTGCAGAGCACTTTTCTTAACCATTTATGTCAATAGCTGGCTCAAACAAGGAAAAAATCATTATTATGTGAATAGTCAAAAAATTTCAAGCTACATATGCACATCAAATGGGCAGATCCAGTTCAAACTCCTCCATTGAGAAGCAGATTAAGGCATCCATTATAGGCCAAGGTCTCAAGGAAAGTTTTGGGTAAAACCAGATCTGTTTTGAAAATGACAGATGGTGAATTCTTGCAGCATAAAGGCTAATGGGAAAGAGAGAGAGGGAGAGAGGAAGGAGGGTGAAGCTGCTGTTCATTAATCTGTTGCATGTAAGAAGTTGTCTTAACACGAAGTAAGTGGAAAAAATTTTGTGTCCATGTTCCAGTCTTGCCAATGCAATAAATTTGAAGTGAGGAAACTCCCATGATATAAGGATAAAAGATGCCAGATTTTAACCAAGTGTAGCTGACATTAAACCCCACAGATATCAGACAAAAAACAAAGAAACCAAACCAAAAAGCTATGGGAAATTATAAGGAAGTGAAATTCTCATAACTGCAGTTGTTAACATTTGTTGAGAAAAGAGAAATACTGCAATAATTTTTGAGTCACCAGGATATTTTGTAACTTCCAATGATGAGTGAAACAAGAATCCAGTCCTGAAAATCCCATATTCTTCACCCTTTATTGTCTGAAGAGAGCCACAGCAGATCCTAAACCTGAAAGAGATGCTCTGAAGAAAGTAAACTTCATTTTCACACCCTGTTTAGGAATATAGCTAATTAAATTGTGCCTTCTTTTAAATTGTGCTAATCAATAAGTTGAGGCTCCTCTCATTTAAATTTTAGTTTTAAAGTAATTAGATACTGCGTCTGATCCTGCTACCTTTATTTACTCAAGATTAGTTGCATAGTTGAGTCTCAAATCAAAATTAAGTGCACTCCAGGGAAATTTGCCTGAAAACTGCAGGTGGGTTTCCATCTTACATTGAATCTCTTCAATTTCACTGGGAAGTTCCAAAAAAACCCATTTTCATTCTTTTTGGTTAAATTACATAATTAAGTACTCCAGGGGTATTGTCAACTTTCTAAATTGGAAAAATAAAAATAAAAAATAATAAATTATTTAGGATAAATACCTCTGGTTTCCTAGAGTGTTTGGTAAAAACTCTTGCAAATACTTCTCTCTTCAGCTGAGGTGTTAAAAATCTGTGTGGAAGCTTAATTTTGATGAAGGTATAGTTTGAAAATTGCTCTTGCATATCCATTCAAGCTCAAAGTTCTGTCTTGAAAGATAGACTGGATTTTGAAGCTTTTAACTGTCAAGGAATTTAGGTGCTGGGTATAGAAAAAAATCTGAATTTCATTAACTCATTTGTTGAAATCTTGCAGCTAGATAAGCTATTGCAGTAGGCCTACAGTATAGCAATGTCTTGCAGCTGGGTTTTGCTTGCTGCATTTTGCCTTGCATTTTTATGTGCCAATATTTTTATTGTTTTTGCAGGTACTCTTGGATTTCAGCACAGGATTTCATGTAGAGGTAATATATATATTTATTTAGAACAGTTTTTCTGATTAAACAAAATGTAACAAATGAAAAATCATGTGTAAAATACTCAACTAAGACACTTCTCAACCTAAAGATTTAAAAGATATTTAAATATTAACCAGCTGCAGGTAATAACCTGCTAACCCTCTCAAGAAAAATTCACCTAAATATAAATGAGTATCTCATACAAATGAGTAATTTTAAAATAAATATGTACAGTCATAGTTTGGGACTCACAGACATGTAAAAAACCACATGGTAAAAAAGCACATGGTCTACAAAAATTTCTTTTCTTCTTATTGTTGGACATTATAATTGTCTGTATTTATTTAATATGGGCTGAGGTCACATAATACTGGAACTCTCTGTCAAAGGTAAAAGAATGGGATGAAAATGGAATGGCAAGATGGAAAACCTTTAGAAGACAAAAACGTGAATGGATCAAATTTGCTGCAGCTTGTAGAGAAGGAGAAGATAATTCCAAGAGGAATCCGATTGCCAGAGTAAGTGTGTGAATACTTGTGTGAAGGAAGTTTTGCCAAAGACAGGCTGATAAAAGCAGAGACATTTAAAAATTTGTATGCTTGGTGTTGTAAAAGAAAGGAATGTAGAATAAAAGAAAGATGATGCAACATTCCCAGCTCTGCTGAGGCAGTCTCATAAGGTGAATCCATGTGGCTGCTAAGGAGTAACCAGAGCCTTCCTAGAACATTGCTATGAGTCTACTTTCCAGGCAGCTCCAACCAGTGACATTTTTTTTCTCTCTCTCATCCTGAGAAACCCCTGAGCAGAAATTCAAAGATTGTACATGGCCTACAGGAAACAGAGAAAAAATAAATACCTTCCTGTTCTCTGACTGTGACCATACCCTTACTGAGTTCCAGGCTCAGTGTGATGCCCTTGGAGGTTTCTCTCTCCACTTCCCTGACAGATTTAAGAGAAATAGAAGGCCTTAAGGGGAGATGGATGTCTAGGTTAATGTTTTGTAAAAGAGTCTTCCATTGATTCTGTCAACTGAACCTTGTAATAAGTGGTTGAGAAACTGAAGTTATACGGCATTTTTTACAGGAACTAAGAACAGGAGGAAAAATCCTGTAGGGGGTCCTCTATAAACTGGCATAATTTATTATTATATCTTACTGTAGATCCGATCTGACTGTGAAGAAGACAATCCAATCACATACAGCATCTCTGGAGTTGGAATTGACCGTGCACCCTATGGAATATTTGTTGTTAACCCAAGAACAGGAGAAATTAATATCACATCAGTAGTAGATAGGGAAATAACACCAGTATTTGTTGTAAGTACTCCCCTTTTTCTTGACCTTTATAATGATGGATCCAGGGTGGGGCAGACAACAAATTAATTTGTTTCAGATTGCTATTTTGCTTCTTAACTTTTGGTTTTAAAACTAGTAAATCTCTTTATTTAGATACGTTGCTTTGCTAAACACTCAGTGACTGGTATAGATTTGGAACCACCTCTTGAACTTCGAGTCCGAGTCCTGGATATAAATGATAACCCTCCTGTATTTGCACAAACTGTGTTTACGGGATCTGTTGAGGAGAGCAGCATGGACAGTGAGTACCTCTGCTATGCCTTTTACAGCACTGCTAGTGAAGCTCACAGAATACAATTAATATAAACCTGGGATGGTCTTTCTGCTTTTCTTAGGCAATGACATAAAATGGTCAGGGCCACTGCAGAGGAGGGAGAAGCAGATGCTTCTCCAAGTGCTATTTGAGCCAGGGCTGGGGCTAATTGCTATAAATTAAACAGCAATGCTTCCTTCTCACTTTCCTCCCACACATGAGTGCTGAATGTTCCAGTTTCTAACCATACCATCATGCAAATTCTTTCAGATGTGAAAATATAAAATAAATAATTTCAATCCTTCTCATTAGAATAAAAATATCATTACACTTATTTCCTTGGAGGGTATGTAAAATACATTTTTCCTCATTTTTCTCTTTCAAATATTTGTACTTGTAGCCTGTGTACTTGCAATTGCAGCAGAATATTACTAATTCCATACTTTAACCATTAAAATGGTTCTTTTTACCAAAAGTGCAGCAATCAACATTAGACATGCATATAGGACTGAGGCAATGGTGCCTAACACTCATTTTCTTCTTTCTAGAAATTCTCATTTAAAGTTGTGATTTCTTACAGTAATCTCTATAAGCTCAGTACTTGCTGTATTTGCATATTCCATATGGTGATTAAAAGAAGCTCAGTGAAAGTCTGCATTATTCTTTCTGACTTTGATTTTTAATTAATTTGAAGTCATTAACATTGTCAGAATCAGTACTACAAAACTAAAGTTTTGTTTTTTCTCTGTAAATGTCAAGGAGTAGATAGCCTTCTATCATTTTCATACATTGTTTTAGCATTGTCTTGATGAGTTACTTGCAGGAACTCAAGAGATTTTCTGGGGGTTTTTGGCTTGGTATTGTTTGAGTGTTTTGTGGGTTTTTTTTTTTTAATTACTACTATTTTTAAACTTATTTTTAGACACGCTGGTGATGAAAATCATTGCAACAGATGCAGATGAACCTAACCACTTGAATTCTAAAATTGCCTTCAAAATAGAGAGTCAGGAACCTTCTGGTCCACCCATGTTCATTATGAATAAATACACAGGAGAACTCCATCTTGCAAATTATCTTGACAGAGAGGTAACATTTCCCCTTCCAAAGCTAAATAAAATTATGCTGTTTTGTATATGTGCTATGAGAGTGAGAAAAATATAGGAGAGAAAGGTTGTGGGTTTTACAAATATTAAGGGAGAAATGCATGGTTTTGATGTGTCACAATAAAATGTCTTAGTCAAATTCCTGCATTAGGAAATAGTAGCAAGCATGAGTTATTTATAAGATGCACAGATGGTCTTCTAACATACTCATTTCTCTTTTTGTGACAGCAACATAGTAGCTACACTCTGGTTGTGAAGGCATCAGACCGGGATGGGGCTGCAGATGGAATATCATCCCTTTGTAGCTGTAATGTGAAAGTTATCGATGTTAATGACAACTTTCCAACTCTTGCCCAAAGCTCTGTAAGTTTGCAGTAACAAAAGCAGCAACACTGATTTAAAACCCCATTTAAGACTCATCAGTAACAGAGCCCTTACTAACCTGTAGAGAACATTCACATTAACATGCTCCATGGGATTTATAGGGTTGTTCCCTTGAAGAGTATTCAAAATACAATCTGTCACTTGTGCAAAAATTCTGGTAACATACACATTTTTGTATTCAGAGATGTAAATCCTCACATTGTCAGGACTGACTTCTTTGTATTCAGAGAAATCCTGTAATACAGGTGCCCAGATCCCTGCAATATGAAATCATGTAAAATAACCCAATCTTTGGAAGACCATTTCTTACAGAAAGCACAAATCCTTTTCCCCTTAAGTTGCCTCTGCAAACCTTGGAGGTGATATGGCTTTTCGAATCTGTAATCATAATCACAGTTTTCCCCGAACACATGTTTTGGTTTGGTTTTTTTTTGTTGTTTTTTTGTTAAATTGGCATGGACTGTGCTCAGAACATCCTTCAAAACAACCTCTGCACACAACTGTGTTTTCCTCGTATACATATATATATATATACACACATATATAAATGTTTGCTAATAGGTATTTATCTGTCATTTCAGTTTTCAACAAGTATTTCAGAAAATTCACTCAGTTCAGAACTGCTACGAATACAAGCTCTGGATGCTGATGAAGAGTTTACAGACAACTGGTTAGCAGAGTTTTTCTTTATATCCGGTAATGAAGATAACTGTTTTGAAATTGTTACAGATCGAGCTACAAATCAAGGAATCCTTAGAGTAATTAAGGTATGGATAAATATTGTGATTTAGCTCTTGACTTAAAAATTTAATTAATTGTTAATAGAATTAAACAGGCAGTAAAAACACTGTCACTAAGCCATCTAAAATGAAAATATTTTTAAATATTAAGGAAGCTTTTATGTATTATCTTGTTCTCTGTGGTTTACCTTTTAGGAACTGGATTTTGAACATATGCGAACTCACTCACTGATGATTGGCGTCAGGAATGTAGCTGCATTCCACCACTCTGTTGCACATGAGTACCAAATATTTGGGACACCCCTCACAGTAGAAGTAAAAAATTTGATTGAACCACCAAGATTTCATCCATCTTCAGTTGTGTTTTCACTGCCAGAAGGTGCAAGAGTGAATTATGTTCTAGGAACATACACAGCTATGGATGAGGACACTAGAACTATTGCAACAAATGTTGTGTAAGCTCTGCTCTGCTTAACTTCCTGGATGGAATAATTCTTTTGAGATTTCAATGGGATGAGGAATAGGTATTTTAAAGGACTCTTTAAAAAACTGTGATTATTGATTAGCAATAGAAAAATGGCAGTATATAGTATCATATAATATTATATATTATATAGTACTATATTCTATATTATTGCAGAATAGTATATAGCCCATTTTTGTGCTATAATTGCCTTTCTTTCCTGACTACTTTCCTTTGCCTTATGCACAAGACAAAGAAAATATCACTTTTCTAACAGGCTGTACCTTAAATAGACTAGAATAGGGTTTGGTTTTTTATTTAGCCTAAGAATGTTTTTTCTTGAAACATTTGCTACAAGGAGGGAATTTGTTAGCATCACAAGAAAAGCAGGTAGAAAATACCAATAAGAGTCAATATTATCCAATCAGAATAGAAGAGGTCATTCTCATTCTCGAAAAAAAAAATTACACTTGTTTCTTGAAATTCAAAATAATAACTGAGACTGTAATTTGCTTTTCAGTGCATGTAGAAAAAAATACAGCCTATTTACACATATTTGAAAAAAAATTCCTAAAACATAGAAATGTGTCAGCAAATACAACTGTAGAATGTTATAAGAAGAGCTGTGGATTTAACCATTGATATCAACAAGGGTTCTAGTAAAGGTTTGCAGGATCCAGAAAAGTTTTACTTTTAGACTATGATGCCACTTTCAAAGTAAAATGCTTTTGCTTTATTCCTAATTACTTTTCTGGTCTACATATTTTGGAGTCTACATGGATTTTGCTTGAACTGGGTGAAATTCAATACAATATAGCATAGCTGAAAGAAAATGCTCCAGAGTGCCAAATTTTATCCACAAAATAAATATGTAATACATGTATTCAACACCTAATGCTGAGTATTTTCACTTCACCAAACACAGATATAGTATAGGACGCGATCCAGCTGCCTGGTTCAGGATCAATCAAAACACTGGTGAAATCACACTGAACAAAGTTATCAGTCGGGATTCCGTCTACATTGTCAATGGGCAGTACCAAGCAGAGGTTCTGGCTATCACCAGAGGTAAGAAAATATATGAAGTTTTCTGAAATAAACTCTTTGTGTTCCATATTTCTCTAAATGTTTTCTGCTGTTTCTAGTTTTCCAACCCTAACTGCATTGTTTATAGTATCATTATTCCCTCCTGACCACAAATACCATCTTTTTTACAGGGACTCCTCGATATACTGCTACTGGCACCGTTGTGCTTTCAATAGATGGCATCAATGCCAATTGCCCAATTATTAATACTGAAATGAGGAAAGTATGTATGAATTCCCCATCAGTGATTATCTCAGCAAAGCATAGGAGTGGTGACCTCTATGCTACCCCCTTCACATTCAGCATACATGGCGAACCTCAGACTACATGGATTATCAGACGAATAAATGGTAAATTAACCTATATTTTGTAACAAAATAAATTATAGTAATAAGCTGTTATCTAAAATAACTGATTTGGATGTTACTTTATTAACAAACAAAACACTTATCTATTAAAATCTCAGTTAAATATGAATTTAAGTTACTCCAAATTTGAATATGTGCATGTGTACATATATATATTAGAATATTTAAATCAGAATTATTACATGTGTTATATTTTAAAGGCAACTGAAAATTTACTAACAAAACTGTACTTTGAGTATAACTATTACAAGAGCCTTTATGGGTCTAAACATAATGAAGTAAATAAAAATAAATAATTTGACACTTTTTTCTTTCTGTTATCTAAAAATCCTAAGAATATAAAAAACTCAATTTTTTTTATTAGAGTACAAAGTTTATAGTTAGCAAAGCTTTACTTTTATGAGAGGCATATGAAAATGGCAAATTAAGATTACAACATTTTTAATTTATTGTACAAGTCACACCTACTTGTATTTTAAAGAAAATTGTTTTAGTCAGTGCCCAGTGAAGCTTTGCCAGTTTCCTTCAATAAGACATGAGAAAAGAATGAATTATTCAAATCCCATGCATTACTAAATAACAAAATTTGCATAGCTTACTGTTTACACAGAAGACTACATTAAATGGGAAATATCATAATTTAAAGTATTCTTGAGTCTCCTACCTGTCCTGAACAGTTGCAAATATTTAATCTTAAATATTTTAAACCTACTGAAAAACTTTTTGAAAAGCATGTATGAGTTTCTTGAGAGAGGAATAGGAAATGCGTAAATCTCTCAACTTTTATCTTTACCATTGTGCAAATAAAATTCAGGAAAAGCAGCAGTGGAAATAAAATATTTTATTTTCCCCTTTTGTGTTTCTCAGGTTTAGAAGTGATAACTAAACTGATTTGGCTCAGGTTTTGCAGGAAAAAAACCAAGAACAGATGTTTATTTTATGCTTCAGCTTTGAGTAAATACTGTAGATGCATAAATAATTGAGGTGCTTAGAAAGGGAACAAATTTTTTCATTCTATTCTATGAATGTAATATACTATTATAGATTTGTAGAACACTTACAGTCAATACCTTCATTTTTCTTTTTTTTTTCTTCCCTCCAAGATTCCTCTGCAGAACTAGTGGGCCAGAACATAGACTTTTACCTTTATAGGATCTATGTCGTTGTAAGAGATAGCCAAGGCCGGCGCTGTGCTCGACCACACATAATTCCTGTGCAAGCTTGCCAGTGTGATAGTCGGAACTACTGCACCAGTGGGGCCACAAGAATAATTATCATTGGTGGTGGTGGTGGCGGCTCTGGTGGTGGCACTGGTGGCGGCACTACTGGTGGTGGTGGTGGTGGCACTGGTGGAGGAGGCCGGGAAGACGGAGGACAACAAGGTGGTGGTGATTCTGGCCAGACTAGACCTGGAGAAGATTTTGAGGACCACACAGACTGGCAGGGCTATACTGATAGCTATGATGGAGGCGACGATGTATATACTGCCTCCACTGACGGCGATTGGCAGGATAATACTGGCAGACAGTTAGATTCAAATACCACACTTAGTGGTGCTGCCATTGGCCTGATGTTCCTCGGTGGATTAATATTTGTTTGTAAGTATGAAATTAAGAAAACAATTTTTATCATTTTTCTTAATAATGTAAATAGCACATTTTTAAATTCTTCTAAAATAAGGTCGCTTTTTCAGTTGGTCATTAATCCATTGGCTTCTACTGGCCATTTGAAAGAGAAAAAAATTGTCTTTTAAATGAAAAAATTCCATAAATTTTATGTTATACATACATTTTTCATTCAAAATCAAGCATTTCCTTTCTAAGACTTGTTATCCAATTCTTAACAGAGCTGTCCTGTCACTTACATTTTGCAACTTGTACTTCCATTACATTACTAGAAGAAATGGGCAAGTATCAGCCCCAAGTTGGGTATGACAGAATCTAAGGAACAAGATTCCTTTTAACTCAAAGCCAGATTTTATAGCAGAACAATAAGTCATAGATTTTGAAATTTTTGGTTACTCCTTTCATACATTACATCTAATAAAAAATCAGTAGCATTTATGATAACAGGATCAAAATAGGACATTAATTCATTTGTCCTAGTATTCACGAAGAATTATGAGCTTCACAAATTCAAGTTAGAATTTATACAAGCAATTATTTCTCAGACTACCAAAATCATATGTGATCAATTTTTTTTCATGGCCTGGGCATCAAGTAATCAACATCTAAAATTTCCTATTGCAGAAATACTGACTACAAAACCTGAGGAAATAGATTTTTTTTTTCCCCTGTATTTTTGAGGAGGGGGATTCAGGTTTTGATCTTCATTTAGCAGGAATCAACAAACAAAAAATTTTGAAGCTTCAAAAGGCTGTGAAATTTGTAGTCCCCAGATGGTTTATCTTACAGGACAGACTGTCTTTCTGCCATTGGATATCTCCCTCATAGTCTGGAATAAATACATCCTTAGTTGCGCTGTATGAGGCAGCACTTTGTACATTGTATAGTCATTTCCCCTTTCCATTTCACTTTGATGTTCAAGTAATCAGAGGGCTGTGGCAACTCTCCTATGAAGACAGGCTGAGAGAGTTGGGGCTGTTCAGCCTGGAGAAGTCTCCAAATGAAACCTTAGGTCAGCCTTCCAGTGCCTAAAGGGGGCCTGCATAAGAGCTCGAGAGGACAAGGAGCAATAGATTTGAACTGAAGACAGTAGGTTTAGCAAGAAATTCTTTACTGTGAGAGTGTGAGAGTGATGAGACAGAGGCACGTGTTGTGCAGAGAAGCTGTCGATGCCCCATCCCTTGTTCAAAGCTGGGCTGGATGAGTCTTTGAGCAACCTGGTAAATGGAAAGTGCCCCTGCCCATGGCAGAGGGGTTGGAACTAAATGGTATTCAAGGTCTCTTCCAACCCAAGCCATTCTATGATTCTATGAATTAATATTGCATTACCTTTCTAAAATATGCAGCGTTTTTGATGCTGGCTATTACAAGCATTCTGCAATTTCCAGCACTGAGTTCTTTAAACAACTGAGCATAATACAGCACTCTGGGAAACCTGATTCACTCTACGTAAACATTTGGTTAAACTAGGGCTTGGGGTTTGCCCTTACTGCTTTTTCAAATCAAGCATTATGTATACATAATGTACAACTGGAGCCTTAGCCAATGATAACTGTAGTCAGGTAGACTCTCCACTGATTCTCATATATCTATTATTACTAATGTGTATGTCTTTTCTATTACAATACTTGAAGAAAAAAAGTATGCTTATATATCCAGAAAGAATAGCACTGAATGCTATATATATAGCAACACTGGTTCTGTTTATTTAATTTTCATACATATGCAACATATATTGGTTCAGCTGAGATAGATCAAAGTCTGTTCCCAGGTGCATAAGCATAAATTTAGAGTAACAGCCCCACCCCTGTGTTGCTCTGCTGTAACTAAAGGTAAAAATTATTCTGAATTCCAAATACAGGTATCTCCACAAGCAGCTAAGTCTGAAAGCCAAACTTATAGGCTACTTGGTTAGAAATATTTTAAAGGCATATTATCAAAAGTTCAGCTACTCCTGTGAGGAAGAGATGTCCTAAATCCTTGTTTCCTGTTCCTTTCCTGTTAAGTGATTCCAATTCTGATGTCAATGAGCGACTGCTGTGGCTGTGGACCTGGCGCTGCAGGTGGAGTTGGAACTGGGTTTGAACCTGTACCTGAATGTACAGAAGGGGCAATTCATCCATGGGGAATAGAAGGCGCACAGCCTGAAGACAGGGTCAGTACATCCCCCATATTTCTAAAACCAGAAGTAATTAATATTTAAAGGCTGCATTTTTCTATAGAAAGTGATAGTAACACTGTGTAATCTAAAACCAGTCTGGCATTGTCAATAATTGCCAGGCAGATATGAAAGGTGATTCTTAATTAACATTCACTGATGGGGTTTATGCATTTAAAGTAGTGGTCAGCTAGTTTGGCACAACAGCTTGGTGCCACTGTTCCTTCAGATGAAGCATAATAACTAGCAAGCTTCTTCAGTGCAAGTTTAGGAAAAGGGAACAGAAATCATCTTCACTGATCATTGTTCATGTTGACAAGGAAAAAACTTGTAGCCTCTTTGTTTTGGTTTGGTTTGTTTGTTAATGGACTTGGTGATAATGACTAACTATCACTAACAGTTTAGACTGGTAATTCTTTAACATAATTCACGAAGACTTCACAAAAACTTCTACAAATCATTCAAGGAGTCAAAATGTTGTTTTCCAGGATGTCTCACACATTCTTGCCCCAACAACTGCTGCAGGAGGTGATTTTGGTGAACCTTCTGGTAAGCAGATCCTTACTTCTTCTATGTTATGCTTTCATAAAGCTGTCTTTCAGAACTTCATGCCTTCAGATTCATGAGGACCTTTGGTTTCCCAGCCATAACCCAACCCTTCCAATCTCACATCTGCAGATAGTCAATCTCATGCTGGTAGGACTTCCAGTATGAATAAAAAGTCTGGGGCTTGAGCTTTTGAAGAGATTAATTTCTGCAAACTACACTTACTTTGAAATATCTGCCAAGGCTTTCAAATCCCAGGCAAATTTTTCTTTATCAGCACAGCTACTGAATGGAGGGCATTTTCAAGACACCCATTCAAGCAGAAATCAATCTTTAGCCAGAGTAAGGATATTTGCTTTCATAATTTGGGTAAAATCTTCAGTTCTTCCCAGTTTCCTGCTTCCCACAAGGGAGCATGTCAAGTAGCTAGTAAATTACTAACACTTTGTGTGTTAACCTAAACAAGCTGATACATAACAATAAATGTATGCTTCTGAGATAAGGTTCCTCCAGGAATTCAATGATCATAGAAAATAAGCCCAGCTGTGCAGTGCCACTTTCTCCTTCCCGTTCCTTACTTCAGAAGAGGAAGGAAGAATGTTGGCACAGAGCCATTTTCCCTAGTTTCTGACAGGAAGAAATGTTACTCTGCAAGACAACCTTTCTGCTGACTATTTATTATACAAAAATGCTCTCAGATTTCTCATTTCATAAAAGTGAAAAAAATATGTAATTTAGCCTATGTTTCCCAGTGTAACCCTAGTCAAGACTACTGTATGCAATTATTTTATTATAATACGTGCTGATCAGTAAGAAAATTCTTTCCTTTTTATCATGTATTTAAAAATATGGAGAAGCTAAAATCCTGTAAGTATTACTTTATAACTTATTTTAAAAAACATTTCCAATATGCATTATAAAATGGTGGTTATTATGATCCATTGCTGTTCTCCCCTAAAAAATCTCACTACTAGAAAATGTGAAAGTAGTTATGAAACTCTTTCTTTTCTAGGATTTACAAAACTCTTTTTTTTCTAAGTGTGCAAGGGAAAATATTTTAATGCCAATGTTATCATAAATATGCATTTATGTATTTACATCTATAAACTATCTGATTTTCTAACACAAACCCCACAACAGCATGTATATGCACTAGACAGAATAATCTGTCCAGCCAATAACAAAATAAATCCCTGATTTACTAAAACATATGCACACATGCTGCCTAGCCTCAGGAATAAAATCAAGTGCTTAGATGTCTGCTAATACATATATAATTGTTACTGCACTTTTAATATTTGGTACCTGTGCATGTACCTGTGACTGAAATTGGTCTAAAATACCTTTAGAAACTCAAGTGTCATTATAGCATTTGTAAAAACAACTGACAAATTGTGTGTAAAGTTTCACAGAGCACAGGAGGGATAACTTTTTCTGCTTTCAGACATATATAATAACACATATGGAGGGGGAGGAGTAGTAGCTTCCGGTGTTGAAGAAACTACAGGTGTTGGCTATGGCACTGGTACTGGCTATGGAACAGCTGGAGGAATTTCTGGAACAGGAGAAGTAAAAGGGTCAATTGGAGGAACAATAAAAGAGTATCGAGAAGGAGGAGTGAATATGGCTTTCCTAGACAACTATTTCTCTGAGGTAATTAAATGCTATTCTTTGAGTTACATCTGTGAGCATGCTTTCTGTTAGATTCTCCTTCCCAGGTTACATTATGGAAATCCAAACTAATTCTACTCAAATTGAAACTTCCATGATATAAGACTGCTGTGAGTGCAAGGGTGACCACACTGGGGTAGGAAAAGTTACACAACACTTGTATTAGTACTGTCTTTGAGCTGCTGCCATAGTAGGTGGATTGTTCAACAGCCTTTTTGTAAGATTGATGGACATACTGCAGGTAGGGGTAGGAAGCAATTAAATTATTTCAACTTCTTAAGTACCCACCAAATTTATGTATTTTCTCAGTGTATAAATATTTAATAACTTTTTGGAATTGTTCACTCCTACTTCCTGTACAGTTTGTTCAATTATTTAAAGAACTTTAAACATCAATTCTTCCTTATTTTTATTGCCATTTCTGCTCTCTAAAAGACTTGTGAACTACCAGTGAACCAATATGCAGTTTTTCAATTGGCAACACCTAAATTAGCCTTTACATATGGGATTAAAAAAAAGGTATGGAATTTACATGATTAATGGTTTTGTGGGCTATATTTTTATTCATATGCATGAACTGTGAGGCATAAATGTTATAATTGCATGTCACCAAAATATCAATTAAGATATAAGGATTGTTATATTTCAAAATCCAAAGATTTTGATTCAGTGGAGGAGAGAACAGAGGAGAATGCAGCAGTCCTGACAACCTGAGCATGGATTTCTCCCAGACTGCAATCTCCCTGCCTTGGCCTGAAGCACTATTAATTGTCTGCCAGTCACAGGCCTCCACTGCTATCTTCCTGGATCATCTCAATTCCCAAACTCTCTGACTCTTCCTCCATCCTTTTCTACTTCCTCCAACCCCACTCTGCACTCACTTTAAATTCTTCTGTTTCCTCCCTGATCTCTTTGCAATGACCACACGAGGATCTCCAACATCATCCCAAGCTGGTAATTGCCTTCTTGCTCAAAATGGACTCCCTCTGGACTCACCAAGCCTCCCTCACTGAGAGAATCCTCCATCCCATCTCCTCTTTCCTTGTCTCTTCATTGGTCCCCTTGCCACCCTGCTTCACTCCTTTTCCTACTACTTTGTTCAGATACTGCTGCCCAAAGAAGGCATGTGTTTGTCTGTCCCTTTTGACCCACAGGCAGAGACATTGATAACAGAACAAATTAAAGATGCTACGTGTTGGCAGAAACAAGAATTAAATAAACTTATTTCAAGGTTAAGAAATGTTGATGGTATAGTCTGTCCTATTGGTGTCCTATTTTTCAAGTCAGGTGGGNCCTTGTCTCTTCATTGGTCCCCTTGCCACCCTGCTTCACTCCTTTTCCTACTACTTTGTTCAGATACTGCTGCCCAAAGAAGGCATGTGTTTGTCCCTTTTGACCCATAGACAGAGACATTGATAACAAAACAAATTCAAGATGCTACGTGTTGGCAGAAACAAGAATTAAATAAACATTTCAAGGTTAAGAAATGTTGATGGTATAGTCTGTATTATTGGTATCCTATTTTTCAAGTCAGGTGGGCCTTACTGTGGTTAGGGAAACTTTGCTGTGGTTTGAGTATTCATGGTTAAAAACCTGACAAAGTTCACTCCGTTATTCTGTTCTCTTTTTTTTTTTTTCCATTTTTTTGTTTTTGCAAACTACAGAAAGCATTTGTATATGCAGATGAAGATGAAGGTCGGCCAGCAAATGACTGCCTATTAATTTATGATCATGAAGGAGTCGGTACTCCTGTTGGCTCTGTGGGTTGCTGCAGCTTTATTGGAGAAGATACAGATGAAACATACTTGGATACATTAGGACCAAAATTTAAGACCCTAGCAGAGATTTGTCTGGGCAAAGAGATTGAACCTTTCCCTGATGTCAACCCACCCTGGCCAGGGGTCAACATTCCCTTCCCCAGCCCTGAAATTGATCTAAACCTCCCGCCACCGGGGACCACCATCGTTGTCAATGGAAGTGCACCTATGCCTCCCACCGCTGGCACTACAACGGTTGTTACTGAAAACACCTACACATCTGGGGCAACCATACAGACCCCGAGGCCAATGCCGGATCCCCTGCTCCATGGCAACATGACGGTGACCGAGACCTACACCTCCAGCGCGCCCTCGCTTTGCGTTGACCCTCTGCGTGCATCCAACGTCGTTGTGACAGAGCGGGTTGTCGGGCCTGCGTCGGCCTCTGATTTGCGTGGCGTGCTGGATATTCCCGATCTTACAGAGGGCTCCAACGTTATCGTCACGGAAAGAGTAATCGCGCCTAACTCCCGACTCCCAGCATCTCTGAGCATTCCTGATTTGGTAGATGGGTCAAATGTGGTAGTGACAGAAAGGGTGTTCAGGCCTGCCTCCGGCATGCCGGGCAGCCTAATAAATATTCCCTCAGAGTTATCCAATGCCCACAACGTGGTGGTCACAGAGAGAGTAGTGTCAGGGTCTGGGATGAGCAGCCTGGGAGGAACAAGCCTGGGAGGAGCAAATCTGGGGGGCCTGAGCAGCACGGGTCAGATGCTCAGTGCTGAATGTCATCTTGGCCAAGGAATGGGCACGGCATCTCCAGGTACCTCCCGAAGACGAATGACAAAGTACAGCACCGTGCAGTACTCCAGTCAGTAAGGCCTCTGCTGGCACCCCTCTGCTGAAATCACCATTTGCACCAACACTCATTAGCTGCCACCCGCCAAGAATATTGTTATTATTTATAACTAAGAAATAGCGCTAAAATTTATGGGGTTCCTGCTTGTTTGAGGATCTCTGACAGGTGTCCCATTTTAAAGTCAAATGCACTTTGTCAGTGAAGGGAAAATAGAAGTTAGCTTTAAATTTCTTTCTTTCACTCCACCTAGCACCACAAGTGCATAAAGAGACTAGTATTTTTGGAGAGATATCTGATTACCAACTAGAGCAGTAAGAGGGGATACTTGTGTGCACACAGCATGAATTAATGTCTTACAAAAGCATGTCAAAATAGTGTACAGCTGAGTGGTCTCTCACAATAAGCAGATTTGGGTTAATAGGCCCTCACTGACAAGAGAGGAAAAGAATGTAGTTAATAATTAGTCATCTCAAGACTAAATAAGCACTTTCAAACGCATCATTTTACTTTGCATGTAATTCAAGAAGTGCTACAAAACGGCACTTTGAACCATTTCTCTCATCACCAACAATAGTTATAAATAATAATTATATAAACATAATACACTTCCATTGCTTTCTGAAGTTCTCAGTAAACAAACATCCTGACAGAGCCTGCAATACAGTTCCTGTCACAGCGAGGAGCGATTTGTCACAGCTGGTGCTGCCACGTTGACACTGTCACCCAAGAAGATGTTGGCTTCATCCTTTCTCCATTGCCATTACAGCTTTGCTTAAATCTAAAAGGACTTCAGTGACAACCAGGAACTCTTTGTCAGATTTTTGTGCCAAACTATGACTACCATTTAAATTGCCAGTGTCAGGTTATATTAAGAAGGTTATAATATACTGTGTCAATTCTCATCTCACATACTGATAAGAAAAGAAAATCTTGGAAGCTTTGTGATGTGAGGAGGCAATAGCAAGTATTGTATTACTGACACTGGTAGCTGAAGTCTTCCTGAAAAGAAAAAAAAAAACCACTTGGAAGCAATATAAATTTGCTAATACACAATGTGGAGAATTTTTATTTCATATGTCAATGTATTTTGCATTGATATTTTGAAAGTTTATTTGAATGTATTAATTGAAAAAGTCATTATGAGTTTCTAAACTTAATTAAATCTGGCTTTTATTTTCCCACAAAAACAGCTCTGCTGGACTCTGTTATTCTAATAATACCTTAACATGTCTTAGAATATGATCTGAAGGACCAAAATACTGAAATATACCTTTTATCTCATTTTATTTGTGTATCATATGTATAGTAACCATAGCACACACAACATTGCTTCAGTGTAAATAAACTAGAGTTATAAGGAGGGACTAGCTTTTTTTGCTAGACCACCAAATCAGTAGTTTTCCCACAAATTTTGCTTCTTTGGCTTTTACAGATAAGTTAGTGAGAAGTTTAAGAGTTGTCTGTGAACCTCCCACTCCATAAAATACAAAAGAAACTCAATTGCATATCCAGACTGATTTACCTCAAGAGAAATGGATGACCAGTTTCTGAGTCTGATACCAAGAAAATGTCTTTTAAAATATGTTTTTGGAAATGCCACTAGATCTGCTGTCAACAACAGCCTGCAGTGCCCCGAGTCAATGCTACTGTCAACATCAGTAATCTCTAGGAATCATGACTGAATCCTAGGCTCCAGGAAAGTCCATTCCATAGTTTCAGGTTCTTTTCTACAGCAACTGGGCATGCTAGGTACTCTGCCCATAAAATCTGACGTATTGCTGGTTTCACTTCTATCTGCAGCCTTGATTATCTTAAGTACCACTAAAATTGCATTGACTTTGAAGGGATTAGTCTTTCCTATAAGATATGTACCAACTGTAATTATGGTTCCTGGAACTATTCTTTAAAGCAGGAAAATAGGTACTAATATATAAAGCTATATCCTTTTACATCTGGAGATGTACATTTGTGCAGAAGTTCACTAAAATGCTGACAAACTCCCTTTCATTTTGCTAACCACCTGTTTGCACTAAAAAACAAATATTTAAAATCTATATGACTATCTGGAATATAAAAAGCCTATGCAATATACCCAAACCCCACTAGAAAATATTTTAATGTAAAAAAAATATTTCCATAATCATCTTAAGCAAATCAGAAATATTTTTCTGAATTGTATTCAAAGTAATGAAACTTCTCTTTAGGAGCACATTCTGAATTCCTTGAACAGGAATGCTTTGTGAAGTATGAGTGTCTGAACTATGGTCTTTTGCACGTCTAGAAATAGGGGAAGAATGAATAGAAAAAAATAGAGAAATAGAAAACTAAAAGAAAAATAGAGAAATGTTGTTCAGATGACAGATTTTGGTTATGTGGTGGTTGTCTATTTCTAGTACTATATTTTACCAACTTTTTAGTTATTAATTATTGTGTAATACAATTTCTTGAAATATTTCTAGCATTTTATTATATTGGTTTCTCACAACAAACAGCAATTGCATTATCCAGTGCATTTCTGGATATTAACTCCTATTGCTATGTAATTTGTACAAACTTCCTAAAAATCATTTTCTTAGTGAATTGAACATTCTTTTAGGTTACTACAAATTGTGGAAGAAAAAAATGCATGTGAAGATGGAACAATTATTTGGTTCATTAAAAATTCTGTTCAAATTCTTTTTCTAGCTTTATTGTTTAAAAAATAGCATATAGTTTAATTCTGGTCAGAAGACATTAATTTGGTTTCTTTTCTTCCTGTTGTAATTTAAAAGCCTGTTTGCTGTCTTACCTTTAGTCATACTGTTTAATAATGAAGAATGAATGGTTTTCAGGGAAGAAAGAGAGTGGTGATATCAGTTCTGCTCTAAGCCACTCAAGAGAAATGCTCTTACTTAGAGTCAGCAACATGCAATATCAAGTGTATAGCTTGCTTTTTTTTTTTTTTTTTTTTTAATTGGGGTTTTTTTGGGAATAGGATCCTACAGTCTTAAACAGGCTCTGTGAGATATTGGCATCATGAGAAGTATACTGACATGGAAGAAAACAGAGCCACAAGCTGAGGGTCTCATTAGATTTCTATCTTAGGAACACAGTCTCAATTTGAACTGCAAGTTTCAATACTTCTTACTCTGTCCTAATTCCATGGTAATAAATAACACTTTTAAACTGTTGTGAGCAGCACTTACTATGCACAATATGAAAAGGCCACACAATTTAAGCAACAATTAGAAAAAATTCTGCCATTTTGCTTGAATTAACATAACTGCATAATTCAAATGCTCCTCACTGCTGAGTCGCCAAATGCATCATTTTAATTTTATTTAAAATACAAATAATATTTCTGTGTGTTTGTGTTTTCATAAATAAAAATATTAGAGGTTTGTTTGTAATAATTTCTGAATGGCACTGAAAAAATACAATAAATGATCATTTGGAACAACATGTTTTACATAGAGTGGCTCAGAATATTTCTTTTTCCATTTATCAGTGGAAAATACAGTTTCCTTAAAACTGATTGGGTTTTTTTCAGAAAAAAATCTCCTTCTTTCATGAAACAACAACAAAAAAAAAAATAGAAGGTGTTGATTTATAAAATCAGGTAATTCCAAAACAAAATTATTTCATGTGTCAAATTGACTGCAATACTTTATTTCAGGTTGTCAAGCACAAATGTGTGTCATGTCTCACAAGAATTACAGTGCAATTTCCTCAACCTATCATTCTCTGCATTGTTCTCTCTCTTTAGACATCCTTTTCTGTGATACCCTTCAGTTCTGCAGCTCTGAAACAGTGCTTCAGAGGAGCTATAAATTAATGCTGGACTACAAGCCACAGAGAGAAAGACAGCAGAACTCTCTAGAAACACAGTATCTGGGCAGCACAGGTATCACAGGTACATTCACTCCATATTTGTCAGAATGAGTTGAACCAAGGAAAAGCACTTTGGTTCTAAAATCAAATTTCTTTCTAATGTTCCAGATCAGTGTTCATGATAATTGCTTTTTGTACAGGGATTTTTTCTAAAAGTTTTATCTGAACTCAGTAAATTACTGCTTTTAAAAACAGCATCATGTTTTAAGTAAATGTCATTTAATCTATCAATTTATTTTGCCTTAACACTTTGACATCTTATTTCTGAAGTTTCATACAGAATCATTATGGGCACTCATACATATTTCAGATAGTGATTAAAGTGTCTTTTCAGGAAGTTAAGTTAGAAGAAAAAAATTTCCATCTTCAAATTTTCTATCAGTCTGATGATGCTGCCAACTCCAGTTCAAAAAAGATAATTTATCTCTTTTTTTAGTGTATTTAGAACCTGCCTAAACAGAAATGAACCAAAGCTATGTTACACATTAGTTTTTATCCTCAAACAACTTGAGTTGAAAAATATGGGAGCACAGATACAAGTCAAAAATGGGTCAATAGACAATACTGTTTCATATTCCAAGTGCACTTAAATTTTAAAAGAAGGAGAATAATGACAAAATTACAACTGGTGACTGTTTTAGATGCACATTTGTATAATGATGAATCTGTCATGTTTTATTATTGTGACCATATGTTAAATAGCATCTTGTAATTCAGAATACAGTGAAATAAGTTATGAAATAGAACAGCCACAAAATTACAACTTAGGAAACAAATGCTTAGTTGACACCCATCATGTACCCTGAATTCTGATGTTCGTCATGTGCTGTTGGGCCTACCTACAAATTTTGATAGTTACCAGTTTAATTTTTTTATTTTTCCTACTTTTTGGAAAAGCTCTAAAAAACAACACCAAATATTATTACAGGCTTCCTTCCAGCTCCTTAATTAAGGATTGGTTTTAAGCCAGTCAAAATCTAGGTAAAACAAATGGTAATTTGTTACCTGCAGGCTTTGATTTTACAGTGATCCAGTACCAAAGATCTAGGTGAGGGTCTGTTCCTCTGCCAGTCACTGCAGGCTCAGGCTGTCAGGGAGGTGAATTGTGACACCAAAACAGGACTCAAGAGACAAAGGCTCCCCAGGATTG